CTCGCGTAGGTATTTACGATTAGTTAGTGAGTTTAAATATCAACTAAAACTTTGGCGGCAACTTAATGAACGGGAGTATATGCCTCAACGTGTCTCTGCTAGGTGTAGCCGTCTGATCGGGGTATTTGGTTTTCTGCGCCTTCGCTTTTATTTATTTGTGTCTTGAATGCGCCTGAAGCAGCCGCTGCCAATTGCATTCTGCACAGACAACTTCACACTTTACAAATTTGCGGCACAACAACAACAAATTGCACTCCTTCAACGACCGAGCTGGCGATTGGAAACTTGCGCATAAATCTTGGCGACCTGCTCTTGGCGAATGCCTGTGCCTTGTATGCCTGCCTTTGAGTGGAAATTTCACAGCGCCGACAAAGCGCGCCACAACCACACTTGCACTCGTAATTCCTCTACACAACGACTTTAGCTATGTGTCGGCTTTGGCGGTGGGGAAATGAGTGAATGCAAGGCGCGAAATTGCGACGCGCCACCGAGTGACAACTGTGTCGGCTACTGTGCGCGCGCATGCGCAGCCATAAAAATATTCTCTACAGTGACGGTTGTGGAAGGTGCAGCGTGTATGGTGGCACTAACGCCGCCACTACAACTACTCTACGCCGAGCTACTGGAGTTAAGCCTCTAAAGCAGATCTTGCCGATATTTGGACAAGCATTTGCGCAAACGTCAGCCGGAGTGCAAGAGGCGTTGCAGTCGCCAGCTACATATGCAAGCACAGGCTGCAACAGGCGGCTAGGCCGAGAGAAACATAAAAGTCACGAAATGGTTACTTAAAACTGAAATAAATATTATTTATGCGCGCATTTGCATTTTTCCAATTTTTAGCACCTCCGGCGGTCATCAAGCATACTGAAGAAAGCCAGCGAACTATTATCACACACACACCTAGATACATGTGAGGTTAATAGCAAATCACTGTCGACACAGCAGCTGAAATTAACAGCTTATGAACAAATGAATTTATGAAAATGTCTCTATATTTCTACATTATTATTCATAAGTTAACGGCCAGATGCGTTTTCTGAGTGTTCATGGAATTCACTGCGCAATAAAAGCGAATTGATTGCGTTTTTTCCTATTTAACCTCAAAGAACTAACCGCGGATCATCGTTGTATATTCATTCATATGCCTAGTTACATATGTACGAGTATGTATTTATGCGTTCAATACTCATAGATATAAAGCGAGCGGCTCTAATTGGCCACGAATCCACTGTGATGATAACAGCCGCCGTCGCACCCAGTGAGGCCCCACAGCCGCTGTGAAATGAGGCAAATTTGTTGGGTCGACAAGTGGGCCGAGTATAAATTTGCCACTATGCCACCGCCGACAAATAAAACAAAAACAGAATTGTGGTAGTTGTTGTACAATAACAGCATCACAAGAACACTACTACTCTTGACAGCAGCAGGTGTGGCATGTAGCTATGTTGTTGTCATGTTGCATATTAATAGCGCTCGAGGGTGCGTTGAAATTATGCCATCAAATTGGTTTCATATCAGAAAGGTGATGTTCAGTGCTGCCGCTCTGACAATGTACGAAGCGGAGGTTGATGGGCAAATTTAGATACAAGTGGGCTGAAAACATGCTGAACAACAACTCTAGTACATACAACAGCAACAAAAAATACACAATATACGCAAAAAGTGCCACAACAACACTTATTCATTGAGGCAATAGTGTAGCCCATGATTTATAATTGCTCGTGTATGTATGGATGACCTTAACCCTTTGTGGCTCGCTGGCCGAATAGTTCCAAAACAAAATGCTCGTAAGGTTAAATAAGATATAAGCCCGAAGATAGTCCAGATAAAAATTTTGTTATTTGGAAGTTGCTCACTTTGCTAGTTCCAGTATTTACTTCGAATATCGTTAGTAAGTTGTCATTAGTTTTTAAGCAGAAGTATTCGAACGGGTTAAACGTTTGGATATCACAACATCCCCTTAAACCCGCAAAGGCGTCTGCATGCATAAGAAGTGAAACATCAAAAATAATTATGCATTTTGCCACAATTTAAGTCTTGCTATAACGAACACAACGTCGTACAATTAAATAGGAACAGCCGAAACGTTCAAACTGGTCGCAGTGATCAAAGCTAGAGCCCAGTAGGAGTTGCGCCTTACGCCCAGCATTATTCGAGGGAAATAAACCCAAAAGTTCACATCGAAAACCAAAAGACAACAGAGCGGCAGCAGAGGAGTGAAACTGCACATACGCGCTTCCTCATTCATCGCTCGAGGATACATCATTCACCACGCAGCCTCAACGCCTTTTTCTGCACACTGTAGCGAGGTCGGCAGTAACAGTCAGCCTTGCCGACAAACGCGATTAACAACGCCATCGGACACTGCTGCAGTCACAGCTTCAACTCCACACAGAGCTGGTCGCCGCCGCCGTCGCCGTTGGCCAAAATTGGTAGGAGTTGATGCGTTGATGCAATTACACCATAATATTCACACTTTGCGAGGTGAGAAAATTGCTGGCTATTAAAAAATCATAATATCAAGACGGATCGAAGAAGTCGTCAGGTTTGCAAGGCGGATTTGTGCAGCACAGAAGACGCTCTTACAAAACCAGCCGCTTTGGCCGCTTGTCAAAGCAGTTCCTACATAAGGATGTCGGCTAGAGCTCAAAATACACGGCATAACATACGTTGTTGCTGCGTTGCCGTATTCCTAAATGGCATGCGGATGGCAAGGATGATGATGTTGATGATGATACTCGGTGGCTGATGATATGCGATTGCGTGTGTCTTTGGTTTGGCTTTCAAGCGGCCGCAACCACACATACAGCCACGTTCGCAAGCAATTGCTGGGCTGTAAAAAGGGGCGCGACGAACGGTCTAAGCGGGCTTGGCTGCTGTGGCAGTCATTGAACGCCTCTTTTCGCTGAATTATGCAACAATTTTGGCATATTCTTCTCATGCGGTTTTATTGGTAAGTCTTATTAGGTTAAAATATACAATATACATATGTATAGTGCTATATTATGATATTTTTATTTTTGGCAGCTTTCTTTATGTTACCAACCACTTTCAGACGGCAGGAGGATACATTTTTTGAAATACAACAAAAATGCTGGTATTTCTTTTTCTAATACTATTTTAGAAACGTCATTGTATAAGTGTATTAAGCGTGTTTTTTGTGCTTCGTAAAGATCGGTTATTTTTATCAGAGGAGATCACAGGTCTTTTGAAACAAGCACCGCTTTTAGCTTCACTTTATGCGTTAAGGAATTTATTTTAATACACAGCTCAGTTGGGACAACAAACCAATGAGGTCAATCTGTGATTTCTACAAATTTACAGCTTTACGTCCAAAAAAATTATAAATTCTTAAAAACAAATAAAAATACTCACACAAATAAAATTTAATTTTCAACTAATAATCATAATCGTTAGCGATTTAATCTAATCACCGCACGCAACATTAATATATTCATAAACAATTAAAAAATCCCGTTTCCTCCGCCTGTCTGCCAGCAACGAGCTTTTTTATGGCGCGGACTGTAGTAAAAATTTCAGCTGTTAATTTAAAAGTATTTCTTCTGATATTTTACGACTCAAACTTGGGCTACGCCTGCTTTGATCTTCGCTGGGGAGAGAAAACGGGCGGCGTTTTTCGCAAATCTCAAACTGAGAGCATCTTTTTCTGCTCTTTTCTTAATTCCTTTGCACATAAAAGGTTTTATAGAGCCGCAAACAAGCAAAGCTATTGACAGCAGTAGTTGGTGGGTGTGTGATGTCTGTGTATGTGTGTCGTGTAGGAAAGCGTTAAAATTTTCTGCGAAATGTTGGCGACTTCACAAAACATCACTGCCTTAGAAGTCTTTGTGTCAAAGTTGCATATTTAAAAACACATAATTCTGCGAAAATTGCAGCGAGCCGACACTGATCACCGGCAAACGATGCGGCAAGCCAGCTGCCATAGTTCTAAATCACATCTCGTTTCATCTGTTCGACATTTTTGTTGCACAAATGGATCTGCGCGTTCGAACATGAGTGTGTTGGCAAATGTGCCTGCAGTGGCGGTGTCATAAAATGGCAACATTGTTACTTTGACAACATTTTTAGTGGGAAATAAATGATTTTTCTGACAGTTCATTCAACACATTGGCGCTTAAAGCTTTGACGGCAACAAACTTAAGATTTTGCTGAAACCGATTTCTGCCTGATGCAATGATGGATGTTTGTTCCTGTACTAGTGGTTTATTTGGTAACTAAACATCACAAAAATTTTGAAGCGTCCAATGAAATTACTCGATATAGACTCCCCAGCAAAACTTTGACGCGTTCATAATAAAAAAATTAATTATATATGCGTAATTTATGAGCAAACCTTAACAGAAGTAACACCATCGTCGCCACACTTTGGCGCCGTCATAAAAATCCATTTTCATAAACTAAATCAACCGTCACAGAATGAAATTCACATTAACCTCACACAAATAAAGTTGTTGCTTCGTTAATATATTCCCGATTTAAGAGAGCGAGGTAGTAAGCGAAAGATTAATCATTTATGGAATGTTTTACAAAAAATCATAAGCACAGATGCTTTCAAACACCTTCGTAAATAAACGTTTGACTGCGAAGTGAAGATCAGACAAATCAGTCAATACTCGATCAACCGGTCAGATGACGAAAGCGTTAGAAATCTCCCCACAGAGCACTCTTAAGCAGTCATTGCCCTGCGGGAACATGCAACCATCACATTGACTCTCTTCGCAGTGTGGGTAGAGAGTGTACCAAGCAGGGAACTTTAATCACTCAGTATTTTATAATTTCAATAACAGTTTCACAATTGAGAATAAATATATCCCGAAACAATTGCGTTAAGTGAGAATCTAATATTTTTCCAGTAATTATTCTTACAAGACCTGCAACAAGTTGATTCGCAACCACCGCATGCACGTAGGTCGTTACAACCGTGTAGTTCAACGGTGATTCTTCAACACCGTCAGACTATAATTAATGATTAACGTTAATTTGTTAGCAGTTTCAACTGATTGGTGAGTAATCAACTAGAAATCAAAGTCAATCATTTGTTGATTTCTCATTAACTACACTATTTATTTCCATGATTCTTTTCTACCTCATTTGTTGCGCTAATGGCATTTTATTCTACCTATAAATTTGAAATTTGCCCACAGCAATCACTCGACTCCAGTTGGCGCCACTTTGGCGTTTGGAAGCCAATAAATCATTCGTCTCAGAATTTCAGCACATGCCCAGTAAAGTAGATCGCATTATCGTCCAATATGATGAATACGAATGGCCGATCGACTTTCAAGTTCGGCTGGAAGAAGCGACCTGATCTCTCTAGTATTTGCGAGTCTGCGAGAATAATGAGGAACACCTAAATTATGTTTCACTTGAAGGCTATTTTATACTTACATGTGGCACCTGCAGCCTCTGAACCTTTTTCGTCCACTGAAATGAAAGCCTTATGCTTAACCTCTGACACATAGAGTGGGCCCTTGGCGCCAGTCACCATATTTGAAAGCTCAGCATTAGAAAACAACAAATTCATACCCATCTGAATAATATCAAAATATTTGTATAAGTCACTTTTTAAAGTGCAATTACTCACTGTCTTCAAAGGCTCAACCAAGCTTAAATCGAATTCAATTTTAAACTTTGGCAGCATGACATCCAAAGTGGTTTCTTTCAACAAGTACTTCACATGCTGCAGTGCGTTCATGCTCAATGTCTGCTCCAATCTAGCAACTCCGCCATCTAACTGATTTGGTAACAATATCAACATACGGAGAGCTGTGTCGTTATATGGCAGCTCCGCTGCAACTAGATCGAGCCTAGTCACTTCAGCATATTTTATGTGCACATCTGTTCGATACATCATTGGCACCTTTACTTTCTGCGCCGAGTTCAAATTAAAATCTCGTGGAACTGTGTATGACGGATCGAATGGATAAAGCCACGCCGCCTTGAAGTATATTGCATTCGTCAGCACTATAGCAGTGTCTGCTGTCAAGGCGGATGGATTAATAAGGCTTTTTATCTTTCCATGAGTTTCGGACTCTACCCACGCATTTATGCTTTGCGCCGCTTCCTCATTACTTGCGAAATCTATCGTTACCGCTGTAGACCGAAAATATTTGCTAATTAACTCATAGTATGTGGGTACTATTTGTAGTCGTTTATCAATATAAATGCGATTGGCCATTTCCAGTTTACTTTCGGGAGATTTGACAGTAGTTTGTATGAATTCGCCAAAATCGACGGCTGCGTCCGCTTTGCTAGCAAATCGCTTCAGAGAGAGCACGCGTTGCATCTCAGCTGCCGTTTGATTATCAGAGCCGACATACGTCATCGCTAAGCAGGTTTGCACCGAGATGGGAGATACGATGATGTTCTCATTTGGCTGATATGTTGAGATTGTTTTGAAGAAATTCAAGGCGAATTCAACACGACTTTGACGATCCAATCCATTAGAGAATTGTAGGTGTAATAAGCCAAGCAACAATACAGCTAATTGAGGCATTTAAAAACACATTAATTATTAATTAAATTTATTTACTTGCGTCTCACCTATTTTAGTCATCTTTGCGGCAGCAAGTACGTCAGCTCACTTACGAATAATAACGAGCACTAAGCGCACAGAGACTAGAAATGTTATATTTGGCCGAAAATCCCAGCTTCTTGCTTATCACCATACACTGTTCAACAATCTTTTAGCTTCCAAAACCTACACTCTACACTAATTCAAGCAGAATTAAAATCGGCGCTGCTTTGTATACACTTCCAATTACCGGCTTTCAAACTAAATTTGGCGGTAATCTCACTATCTGCTTCTAAAAATATTTTTTTTTATGTTTTTCAACTTTTTTGAAACCAATTGCTCCAAAAGTTTTCATTATTTCAAAAAAATTATATAAGGCATCAGCTGTATGTATTACTTATGTATGCACACCAGGCAACCATTTCATTGTAATTGCAAACTCTATTTCATTTGGTGCATAAATTCGCTGGTGACATGTGCCCAGACATTAATGGCTCCATCGCTTGGTGAATGGTGAATGAAGATGGCAAAATGTTGCCAGAGGCAAGCAACAAGTTTTAGTTTTTGGTGTCTGTTTCTGTTTCCCTTCCGAGCATTCCTCTGGCTCTCCCACCACTGCTGTGTCTAATTTTCACCTTTAACTGCAAATCGACTCGATGCGGTTTAATTGGTTGTTCATAATAAAGTTGTTAAAATATCCGCGTTAAGCAACAACAATTAGTGACCATCTGAGAGAAGTGACAAGCGACAACAACAACTATATGCATGTGCATACATATAGACGACAATCACTGCAACGATCAGTTCAAACAAAAAAATCTCGGTATATATAAACTCTGAAATAAATACGTGTTGAGGCGCTGAGTGTTGCGGCATTCAGCGTGCCATAAACAGGGTACTAAAATCGGTTCTCTTGTCTATAATATTTCTCTCAATCAATTCGTTTTGATTGCATTTTGTTATTGTAAAAGCCAGCCGATTGTTAGCGCGATAGGGACTGCGTGGTTCATACGTACATATACCCTGCACATATAGATGTATGCTTCGGCTGCACTCGAAGACACTGATTAGGCTTGATTTGTAAGTCAAGCTCTCATTTTAGATTACGCAAGTACTTCGATTAAGCAAATATTGAGATTGCTGTTCTCAATTGTAATCAGTTCGACAATATCAACGGCGCTACTGATATCACATAAGCAAATATTCGCGGAATATGGCAGTGATCGCTTGCATTTTTAAAAAATGTTGTTGTTATGAACAGTTTCTTCTCAGCGTACTCACAACAAATCGTTATGGTTTGCTCACCAGCCCTTACCAAATATATTTAGTTCCTTCAGCGTATACACGAGTTGGCTCCTCATTGATAGCAATACTATCAGCTGATTTCCGAAGCGCACCTTGAACTTCTGAATCCAAAACCAGGGATCAGGTCCCTTCACTTTTTAATATTTATGGCCTTTTTAAAAGTACTGGCTTTAGACCAGTTGTGAATGCTTATGCCTCACAAATACTTGCGTTCTCATTAAGAAGACTGTTTTCAACCACAACGTCAAAGAGCCTCTAACGACTAAGCGAATATTTAAATCGAATCCGTTTATCCGTGACTATCAAATTTCTGAGCTATGTGTGCTATATACCACATTCAGCGACGCGTTAATCAGAAAATATTTAAAGAAACATCAAAAATCCATCATCGAAAGAAAACCAGAGCATCCAAAGAGATATCTTAGCCGCAGACATCCTAAATGCTACGAGGTTTTGCAGTATTCATCAGTTATATTAGTCGACTTGTCGGCCGCTTGTTGCATCAATAAAATACGCCAGCGGCATTTTCCCAACTACGAAAGTGTTAACTCCGAAAACTGCGTACCGCCCTGTAATTATGTCTGGGTTTTCGTATATAAATAATTGCACCGACGAAATGTGCGGACCATCAAAAATCAGCAGAACCAGAATGCGTTCTATCCCTCTACCGGCTAACTCTTCCTGATGAAATGCAGGCACAGCAATTGCTGTCGATCGCGTTTTGGTAGACTGCGTGGCGTGCGAGTTTGATGATCTACGCAAGAAATGATTGCGTTTGCGGCTGCGCGAACGGATGGATGGACAGCTAATCGACAGAACGGCAGTCAGTCAAACGATGTTGTGGCTACCAGTGCTGTTGATGCCGCTGCAGATAAAGATACCGTCATTGATGTTGCTGATGGTGAGGATGATGAAAGCGATCGCTGATGCTTGAAGATACCGCTTGTGTAGCCGTCGGAAATTAGGAGATTACTTTTTTGTCGAATAATGCTGCCAGCCAAAGTGTTGGAAAGCCTAAACATTCTTATTAATTTAATGCTGTTCCGTTTTACTGCGTTATGGTCTCTATTTTTTTGGCAGTAGGTCAACTGCAGCGCTTCGATTTAAGTGTCGAACTGTGTTCAAGCTTGAAGACGGGCTCAATGCTGTATGCGTGATAACAAGCGGACAATACAGTGTGGAGAAAATTGGCAACAGAGCAAATTTGTAAGACTAACTCTATTCAGTTTCGAAAGAGCTTTTAACAATTGTAGTAACTTATAGATGTTCTCTAGATTGACAACGGGATTATATAATACTTGGTACTTGGAATCATTGGCAATCGTGAGATCTTCGTTCTCTAACTGCGCTAAAGTCTCTCTTTAATTATAATATTTTTCTTGATTGCTTGCCTCTACCACATGCAATTTGTGTTGACCATGTTTCGCAGCTTTATTTTGACACCTCAAATTTCTGCAAATAAATCTTTGCATTATTCCATAATTCAGTCGAAATTTGCTGTACAAACAAATAAAGCGAACAGACGACCATATTCCCGATCGATGCATAAAAACAGAAATTTATGAGACGCCGAACAACGGGAGATGACAATGCACGCGGCAAACGCATCACGCAGCACACGCAACACCACCTACAGCTCGGCGTGTAGTTTATGCGCATGCGCCGAGCGCCACAGCGCCGCATTCGTGCAGAGCGCTGAAAAATCGGCGCAAACGGTGCAGCGTTCATAAGTCAAAGTTTACTTAAATAAAAGCGCAAAAGTGCAGAAGTGAAATCGAAATGCAACAATAACAACAACAACACTAGCAAGCACAAATTGCAGCGGCATTCAGCGCTGCGCCGGTGAGCTACACCAGCCGATAGCCATTAAATCAAACAGTTAGCTGGCAATTAGCGACGGCTTGCGTTAATCGCACTCAAATGTGCATATGCAAATAAATAGTTATGTTTATGTTAATGCTTACGTTACGAGCGGTATGCAAGCGGGTAAACCGTAATTTGTTGCAATTATCGTCACTTGAAAGCTGTGAAATGCTGATTTGCAAGTCATCACTTCAATTCAACAACTCGTTCATATTTACAACAACAACTACAGCTATGGCGACATATACACATACATGAGCATGCGTATATATGTGCAATTTAGTTATTATAGAAAATTAGTTGTTAATTCTTATGGCTAGTTTTAAACGCTTTGAACTATTGCTATTGACTGTTGATTGCCGCATTAATCAACGAGCTCCACCGCAAATTATCGCCCAGATTTGTTATAATAATTCATTTAATGCGATCGCCTGTCGCAATTGCTGTTTCATAAATCGGTTTGTTTTCCGAATTAGCATTTTATTAAAACTGCTTCGAAAAAAGTGAGCGACTTATTGAACCCGGTCGATGATTGTAAGTAATTATTTGCTATTTTAATAATTTTATACAAAGTAATTGTAACAATTATATTCAAGTGTGAGATAAATGAAAGTAAACAATTTCTGCTTCAATGCGGAAGGTGTGTTACCAGTGAAGACTTACTGTAGCGCACGCGTCAAGGCGAACCAAAAATGCGAATGCGAAAGTGTGATAAATTCCTAACTCTCAGACTCTTCCAATTTCCGATTCTTCCTTAGTTACAGGCACAGCTCTAGCAAATAAATAATATTCGCACGAAATGTGACGCGGACGCACGACCTAGGCTGGGGAACGGGAGAGTGCAGAGTCTTGCGCAGAGCCGCGAAAATCAATGCACAGCGAGCATCAGCAACAGCAAAGCCAGCTACGGCAACAGCACGCAGAGTGGAGGTAAGCGTCAGCCACACAGCAGCGCAGGCGCCTCTGGGCATCAACGCCAGCGCGCCTCCGTGCCGCTGTGTCTACTTCAATGGACATTTATGAAATGGCATCGTGGGCGCCCGTTTATGTGGAATTCCATTTAATGCACGCCAACAACAGCGGCAACACTAACAACAACACACGAGTGCAAATTGATATATGTGCGCAGCGCTCATAAAAATGTCAAAAATATGTCGCTTTAGTTTGGTTTTTTCCTGCTCCATTCTCCACTGTATTTTTCGCTTGTTTCGCTTGGCGTCTGTTGCACACTTAACGCCGCATGCACGCATATATTCATTTAATTGGCAACGCAAACACGCTGCAGTCGCAGGCAGCCAGCTCTGACGATCAGGAGGGTGGCGTTGATACCAGCGATCCGCAATGCGCACGCGCGCCACAAACACCTTCAATGCAGCAGCAAGATGTCAGAAGGGCAGTCCATGACAGCATGGGCCGCACGCATGCTCGCCACCGACACGCAGTGATACAGTTGCAGCAGCAGTCGCCTCGCTGAGGTGGCCACCGCACTGGAAAAAAGGTGCAAAAAATTAAAAATGATTTTCTTTTGAATCAAACAAGGTGCAGAAATGCGTGTGAAGTGTAGTTGCATTCATTTAATACTCGTAAGTGTGTTGTTTCCATGCAGAGCGAAGTGTTTGTTGCACGTTGAGCTAACGTTATGAAATCAACGAGAACACAGTTGAATTGCTGGGCGTTTATGTGACGACGCGCCTGCGTGCATAAAGCAAATTTCACGCAAATCAAAATGTCATAAATATGTGGCTTATGCAACACACTTGCGCGTCAGCCAAAGGCATGCTTACAACAATGCGCATTAATGCCACACAATCTCGTTTAAATGAAATGAATTTAATACCAACATAAAGGGCGCGCGGCGGACGGGTGACCGGCAGGCAATGCTGTATGTTTGCGGAGATCGCCGAGCACTCTCTGACAGGCGCTAAATTGGTGTGATATCAACATGTCGCCGACAATGCACCGTGGTGACAGTCGAGTTGGCGGCTATGTCCATTGGCTAAAGGCAGAAATGCAGTTAAACAACAAAAGAATGAGGAAGCGCTTAGTTTTTATTGTTTGGTGGACAGTGTGTGGGGGTGCGCCGTCCTTCATATTTGTGTGTTTTCAGCTCCTTTAATTGGTAATTCAAAGGCTTTAATAAGTTTAGATGTATATGAGCGTATTCATATAAAAATACAAATAACATACTAATTTTAATTTAATCTTTATTAAAACTTGAATTGTAATGCTAAAAATATTGTATTTAAATCTAGTTGTCTATACATCAAAATGAAAACAACCCTTAATACTAAATTTCTTTTGGACTTTATTGTTGAGAAATCTCCATTTATTTCCGAATATTTTCACTTTAGTTAAAAATCCTTAAATTGGTGGAATTTTAAATCCGAAACTTCGTTAGCCGCACCCGCATACGCACCAAATTGAAGTCGATACATATTTTAATGGTCGATTTGGTAGCACAGCTGGGCATACTTGGGCTAAAAAGAGTAAAGTGAACTTTACTGGAAGGCAATAAAAGACAGCAGCAACCTAACACGCATCGCAAGGATTAGGCGGCACTGCAATTCTTCATGTATCGCTTGCGAGCGTGCAGTGCAAACATTTCTGGGAAACAATAAACCCGAGACAACACTCGCCGCTGCTCTTCTCCGGCTCATTTGTCTTCCGCTAACAACAAAGAATGCAGCAACAAGCCATACTGGCAGCCAGCAAGCAACAATGGCCGTCGAAACAGTAGCTCAGATCTACGAATGGATGGCGGAATGTGTGGGTGAGCGTGTGGACAATGCCAACGCCATGGCACACATGGGAGCCCACTGGCAGCAGCAAATTGAATTTAAATGCGTGTTGACCACACGCTTGTGCAACGGAGTTTGAATGTGCGTTTACGTGTGTGTGTGTGTGTGTGTGTTAAACACTTCCGTTTCCGTATGCTGCGCGTTGCGGCAATAAATGGATAAAATATGTGCCGTAGTGGCAATCGAGTACATGTGGGCGTGTGCGTCGTAGTTGAGCCCTC